ACCGCCGCCCTGGGGCTGCCCTGCCCCGCTGCCCACCTGCCTTGCGGGGCCCTGAGCCTGACCCCCGGGCCACAGCAGCTGCCCACGGCAGCGCTGTGGGTTCTCCCAGAACATCCCCCCAGCGCTGTCCCGCCGGACCGTAAGCCTCACTACACAGATGGAAAGCAATGGAAAAATTACGAAGTTACTAGGGTAAATTACAAAAAAAATTACTAGGCTCTTCTTGAAATAATTAATTAATTAATTAATTAATTAATTAATTAAATAAATAAATAAATAGATAAATAAATAAAGTTGTTCTACTCTGATCTCCTGAGTACCGCACAATGTCTGTGGACACACGTTTGTATTAAGGTTCCAGAATTCGCCTTAGTTTTTAATTGACTGAGGCATGGTGAGTGCTTAAAACTGATTACTGGGCATCACTGCGTGCTTCTTCTTCACTAAACTGAAAAATAACATTCTATGGAATCGTTTTTGCAGGCTTTCCAGAGAGTTTGACGCCTGCAGAGATCTTCCTGCAGGGCTTTTCCGCAGAGCTGTCAGTTTCCTGCAGTCTAAGCTTTGCCCTGTGCGCTCGAGGATACCCTCTCATCACGGACAGGTACCAGTGTTTGCTGGGGACCTACACCCCCCAGCCTTTCCCCGACTTCTTAATCAGCTCAAATACAACGTCATCTGGCTGCTGGTCATTGCTGTTACTAACTCAGTCAATCAGATCTTCGAAGTCAGCCAGGTGGCCCGTGCTGTCCCACTTCAGGGAACAGAGGTGTTTCACCAGTAGGGCATTGCCTCCACGAGGGGCAGTGTGCCACACCTCATCTCTGTTTTGCTTTAGCCAGATGAGCTCAGCAGAGCTCTGCAAGCCACCAAAATGGAGAGCCCCAGCTCCTACCATAGCTATGAAATTAAATGCTCCCCCTACAGCAGAATTTTACCAGTGGAAATTTAGCCTGAAATGTAAACAAATTCTTTGATTGACATGCATGTGACCAAAGTAAAGAGGCATCTTCAGGAATAAGAGGAAGAGGGATCTAATGATGAAGTACCTAGATTTCTTCTTGAAGGCTGAGGAATGCCATGGTGATGGCCTATCACCACTTTAATGGCAATGGGGAGAAGAAAGGGAGATGATATTTTTTCCTTGCTGTTTGAATATGTCCATCTTTAACGTTTCCAGACAGAGTAACTATCTGGGAATTTGTCCTGCACCTTTGGGAACTGAAGCACATATGGCCTATTTAGAGATGACAGGTGGGGCAAGGATGACTCTTCGGATGCCTGCTGTTAGAGGAACCAAATTAGATTTTGGTGTAATTTATCAGAGCTGGAGGCCACCCCATGTTATAGTAGTTGTCCTTAGTGATACTTATGGTCACAGTATGCCATACTTTTCTATGGTAATTTCATTCCCTTTCTGGCCCTCAAAGGGAAAGAAGTGAATAATGGTGTTTCTAGTCCACCAATAACTGCTATAACCGATAACCCAAGAGCCAATATCCATTGTGAATGAAGACCTCTCACAGGGACTTCAGCAAGTCCAGTCACTGCACAGGCTGTCATGTCTCTGCACATAAAAGTTTCCTCAGAACAGAGCATAGCAGCAGAGACGGACATGAGAGAAGGAAGGCTGTGAAAGGGTTACTCAGGATTTAGTCCTCTGCACAAGGCTCCACCCAGTCTGTTAATGGGGGATGTTCAGCACATATTTCTGTGCTTAACTCACAGTATCTTAACATTACCCCTGGGATGAAACATACCCTCTTTTATGAGCCCAGGAGTGGTAAAATAGGAACTTTGGTGAACTATGCAGAGGTCATCCTAATTCATAAGTATGAAATGGGTTCCCTCCAGAAATTATTTGCCATGTTTTGTTACCATATTTTTGGATTGCCATTATTTTCTATACTTAATCTTTTATGGGGTTTTATGTTTTTTGGTTTTTTTTTTAATGGGAGTTCATTTCAAGGAAATTTTATACTCCTCCCTGCTCTGCTCAAGATTCAAAGTCAGGTTTGTTTTCAATTTTTTGTTTTGTGATTCACCTCTCAGAAGGCTTTTGGATTCTGAGGAAAAAGAATCTCTCCTATAATTCTGAGGCAGGGACCAACAGAAAGGAAAACAGAAATGTTTTGGGTTTTTTTTACATTTATGCCGCTACTTGTGAAGCTTATTTAGAGCAAATCACATGGCAACTCTGAAAAGCATACTGACACTATATCCTCACCTGGTTTGAGTGTTTTTCATCTCATTTTTTAAGATCCTCTTCACATCCACACCTAAGGACACTAACTTGTAAGATGATGTGGTGGTGTAGCCTCCATAGAAACAAAGAATAGTCTGACTAGGAATCCACTTTTTAAATGTTCACTAGTCCACCCCTCTTCAATGAGAAGAAACATCTTCAACCTTCAAGACCATTTTTCTTAGAATAGTACACCAAATTCTCCACCTCACTCTGCACCCACAGCAGACCACACCATAAGGCTACCTACATTCTTTCTCAAGTGACCTGACCTGGTCTCTGCTTTTATTCAACAAATAAACTAATCCATCATGCCTGAAATGATGAGAGATGCACAATCCATGGGGGACTCAGTGTGATGATCCCCATCATGGCTTCATGAAAATGATATTGGTTGGTCTGCAAGTAAAGTTTAAGAGGCAAGGAGCACAAGCAAGTTCTGTTGTTGATGAGCTGAATCTATGCTTGCCAGAAGTTTTCTAGTTAATCCTCAGAAAAAAAGAAGGTAGCTTTGTTATTAAAAAATTCCTTGTATCATTCCTGAAAAGGCAGCCAGAATTAGAGGTAACTGGGACTTTATTTCTGAGGCAAGCTCTGCTGAACAGCTGATACATAGCAGGAGGGAATTGTTCAAACATCTGTCTTTATGGCAGAATTGGAATCTTCTGAGCTGATTCCCTATAACTGCAGATACAAAGAAGAATGAACAGGCTGATTTTATGGAAAGTATGATTTGGAAAAAAAAAAAAAAAGAAAGTTTGAATTCTTTGACTATGCAAGATTTTTCACTAGAAAACAGAATGTATACTCTCAGGCATTTCTTTGTAATTTCATTCCATCTGTTAGGCGTGTAAGTATTAAGACTGCTACTCTCTTTTTTCAGTAAAAGGGAATAAAAATTGATGCGTTTCCCTTCTTTTCATTAAGGGAAGGAAGTGAGACGTGAATATAGACTAAAGATATATTCATGGCAGTTTGCTGTCATTTTGCACAGTTCCAGAAGTGTATGTAAAATGGAAAGTACAGGCCAATAAAAGTAATTTTCTGAGTCCTATTAGCTGCCAAATGGAATCACAATATACAGTAAGCTGGGAATCTGAAAGATTTCACACCTAATTCTACTGGACTTAAATTTTAATTTACCATCAGAACAAAACATCTAATTGCAAGCAGAAGCAGCTTATTACATCTTTTATGTAACTCTGACTCACACATTGACCAAACTGTAAGGAAATAATTTTCCTTTGCATAGAGATGATGATCCCACTTGGATGTTCTGTACCTAAGAATTCCTCACAATTTACTAATAAGAAACAGAAAATGAGAGGAAATTATCTTCATCTGTTTCTCTCACCCATAAAGCTTAAAATAGACAATGTGTTAGAGCAATTGCATACCCTTGCACCTTTTCCAGTTAACTCCTCTTGCACAGTCCTCAACTAGCAAGCTGTTAAAGAAAAGAAATATGTAGGGAGAGGAATTTTTATATCTCAGATATCAGTGAAAGGGTTGTAGTAAATGTGGGGGGAAAGAGAAAAAGAGTTAGGATTTAAGTAAAGGGGAAAATGGGGGAAAGGGCACCTACTGAGACTTCTCTCTCCAGACATTCATGATCAAAGCCCACCACTGCCATTAGACAATCAATCTGCAGTTGCATACATAAAACTTTGGCAGTGTATAGTCTCCACTGCTTTCAACAGAGGCTTTAGACATCTGAAACTGGGCACTCTCCCAAAATTTAGATCCAATTGCACTGTACATTCCAGAAAAGGCAGCATCAAATCAGAGGCCCTCTTTTACCCATGTTATTTTCAAGCTGAAGTGTATAAAAAGTTATACTCCAGCTTCTCCATTTAACCTCTTGGGTTGGCTATGTTTGTGTTCTCCAACTTCATAAAACGGCACACACTGCTAGTAGGCAATTGCTGGCTAAATCCATTGTTGCTTTAGGAGAGAATACTAATAATATATACCTTTCTTTCCTAACTAGCTCTTTCCATTCAGTTGCCTACTGACTTCTTAATTTTGCAAACAAGAATCTACTTTGGCATCATATCTTGTAGGTGTAATGCACATTGTTTCTTCAGATGAGTGACTCTGAAGCTCCTGATTTGCTTTGCTTTGCAGCTTTTAAATCTTTATGTCTTTTGTGGTAGGACATTCTCCTGCACTTCATTTAAAACTAGTACTAGCAGACAGCCAAAGTTTTAGCAGCTTCCTATTCTTACTCATACCACAGGCAGAGGTTTCTCAAGCAGCTGCATTGGATTTCTTGCAGAAAGATACGCTCAAAGGAATTCTGCAGTCACAATCAAAGTACAGAATGCAGCCTCAGTTAATCCTAGTCTATTTACATATTTCTCTAGATGCTTCTGCTTTCTTCTGAGAAAACACATCTTTAGAAATAACAATCTCTGTGTATCTCTGTGAAGAATACAGAGGCTGCCCTACATTTATTAGATTTTACAGAGTGTTCAATTTCTTAATACTCTATCTATCTATCTATCTATCTATCTATCTATCTATCTATCTATCTATCTATCATATTTCATTCTATTATCAGATAAAAAGTGCTGTATGTGTAAATATATGGGATATTTGCTGAACTCTTTCACATCCACAGAAATGCCCTGTGGAATATGCAGCCTTCAGTGAAGTTCTGCAGAAGAGATCCTTCCACAAGAAAAAGTCAGAGACCAAACACCACTTAAATAGGATACACACAGAAGTGTGGTGAGATCCAGAGCATGCCCATGAAATCATCTGTTTATTTATGATAAGAAACTCACTTCCTCTTGGATAACCTCAGGATTTCTTTTGTTAAACCCTTGGCAGCTTAAAAGTCATCTTGCTTTCCAGCGTCTGAGCCTTCTTCCTTTCTCTTCCTTCTCTCTTCCCCATACAAGGGCCCCCTCTCTTCACTCAGCTCCCACTCTCCCTCTCAAATGACATTCTTTCTGTACTTGTCTGCACAAACAGCACAAGGCCCAGGCTGTGCTTCTGTAAGCCAGGAATAATGCCTTAGTCTTTTGCAGTGATTGATGCACTATCCATGGAGAATACTGTGCCATGGTCAGAGAGGTTCACAAAGCCATGCACCGTTAGGATACCTGCTGGTCTGCTTTTTACTTTCACTGTAACTTAAATAGAAAAATGTGGTAAATGTTCCATAAGTATATGGTCTTCGTGGTTCTTGTTGTTGTTGTTGTTGTAAAGTTGTAGCTCACGATTTCAAGTCAGATTCCAGGGAGCTCCAAGCAGCTCACATTTCCTCTCCTAAACCTTTGGCCTGACATTACACAAGTACCTTCCATGCGTATGCAAAGACTAGAATACAGCTAGAATACTAGAGTACAGAA